GCCCCCCCCACAGCAATGACAAGTATTATATAGAAAGGAAACTTTGTTACCGTTCTCGATAAACAGAAATATAAACAGAAGAGACGAACAATTTCTCCACGTTTTAGCCCTGAAAATGAATTGACCCCTCCCCCCCCACAATTATATATTTCCTGAAAGCAGAAACGCTGTAGAATAAAATGGCGGCAGTTGCAAATTTGTACGTCCCCTGATCTTGGCTCAAAACTTTATCAAACCCAACATGTCAGTAAAAAATACACTTAACCACTTCAAGACCAGGTGTTTAGACCCCCTTCCTGGCCAGGCCATTTTTCAGTACCGAGCTTAGGGTAACGGGAGAATGCTAGTTTGTGTCCTCCCGTTACCCTTCGGAGAACTATGGGGAAAAGCCCTGACCACAAGTTAAATTTAGTGCACTGAAAACAATATTTTATAACCTATAGAAGATGAGGTTTTTCCAAATCAATAGATACCCAACGTGCCCAGCTTCAAAATGTGCGCGCACGAAATGGCGACAAGCTACGGTGTCCCAAGTTGCCCATAGGATATTGGCTGTAGAATTATTGCTCTCACTCTGGCACATGCGGGAATACCCAACATGTGTAGTGGAATCATTGTTTCCGTACGTAGGCTCATCCGATGCGTGTGCGCATTAGTATGCGCGTGTCCCTTCTGTGAATATCTTCCTGTGTGGACATATCAGAAGACAATCCACCCAGAACACATTGTAGATGGGTCACATGATATCAATATCCGGATTGGTTCACACACACTGTACAGGTTCTGCTCGGATCTATTTTTAGAAGCGTTCACCGCAATGGAAAATGTCGCTTCCCTTGACACTAAACCTCAGATTCCCAACATTTGCGATTGAGCTTCCTGTCCTCCAAACTCCGAAGAGATCTCTAGGGAAGATATAAATCCTCTGGGATGTTGTATTGTACCGGCAGATCCTCATTGTCATCATCAAAGTCAAAGCTTTTTTGTATGCTTTTGGCAGAGTAGAGAGGCGTTAAAGATGGAGTTCAATCTGCCTATATTTTGCCTCCCCAGGTAGCTCCTTTCATCTCATCAACATGATAATACATTTTTACCTTTTATTAGACCCAGTGATGTCATCAATGGGTCTGTGTGCTGCTCTATGCAGTGCAGGCAGATCATGGCTGGTGGGAGGGGCCAGCAGGGTGCTGTGCATAGCTTCCTGAAACAACACAGCACCCTGCCTCAGAAGGTCTCGCAAGAGTCCTCAGCACATCTCTCAAGAGTCCTCAGCCCTGATACAAGCAGTGGGTGGGCTCTTGGGAGGAGTTATGCAAATATCAAAATGCCTTGATGGGTGGATGTCAGTCAGGAGGAGCGGGTGTTCCTAGGTAGGCTGTATTTGAATGCAGACCACCCTAGGTAATGGCCATATGTGATGCTGAGCCTCCACGATTGACAGAACTGAAATCCAATGAATGAAAAGGACAGGTGAGGGACCATCCTGGCTGGGGAGGAAAGAACTAGATGATATTGGACCTTCTCCCGCCAGGAAATGAGGTGGCCTCTATCTGACTTTCTGCAGCTTCTAACGCACACTTCTAATTAACACAAAGGAATCAACTCTTCTTCCTCACTCCGTCCTACCTGCCCGTCTTCTATGATTTCTCTCTTTTTTTACAAATATTTCCATCCCCTCGTTTATCTTTGTTCTCCATAAACACATAAAAACATCACAGTAAATATTTCCAGCCATTAAAATGAACCAAATAAAATATTTTAGTTACCAGAAATGGCAAATCCGCTGAAGCCCACAGCAAGGACCAGGAAGGATATGGCTACACCCTTACTGTGCGAATAGCCGACCACCAGGAGGAGGGTCGCCTCCATCCCAAAACCTGGAACACACGGCAGGAAATAAGAGTTACGGTTGTCACTCGGAAAGAGTTTCATTGTGTCCTGATAATACAAGTTCTCAGCAGAGTGATTGCAACTATTTGTGTGACAACTACACTCTGTGACCAAATGTTTGTGGACCCCCAATCATCACATCTATGTCAACTTCCTGGACAACCAACTCCTAAACTACGAGAAGGAAGGAAGATGAAGAAAGGAGGAAAGAATGAAGGAAGAAAAAAAGGAGGGAAGAAGGAGAAAAGAGGAAGGAGGAAAGAAGGAAGGAAAAAAGGATGAAAGGATGAAAGAAGAAGACGAAAGAAAGAAGGAAGAATCAAGAAGGAAACAAGAAGAAGGGAGGAAGGAAGAGGAAAGGAGGAAACAAGAAGAAGGGAGGAAGGAAGAGGAAAGGAGGAAACAAGAAGAAGGGAGGAAGGAAGACTAAAGGAGGAAACAAGAAGAAGGGAGGAAGGAAGACTAAAGGAGGAAACAAGAAGAAAGAAGGAAGAAGAAAGGAGGAAACATGAAGACAGAAGGAAGGAAGAAAAAAAGGAGGAAAGAAGAAGAAAGAAGGGAGGAAGGAAGAAGAAAGAAGTTTTAACCCCACTGCATCATTCTCCATAATGTACAATACATGTCATAGTGCCTCGGGTAGTGAGGGGATCTCTGCTGCTGCTGGTGGGGGGTTGATTGGACTTTGGAATTTGGGGACTGCACTTTGTTTTATCTGAGTGAATGAATTCATTGATGATCTCCGGTTTGTATGAGTCACGTTTGCCCGAATCTTCATTTGCCCCTAAAGATCAGACGGATCCACATGGAAGTATTCCGCTGAACCAAAAATTGACAGTCCAGCGATTCCCCAGATTCATCATCACTCAGTCCCTGGCAGTGGATCACCCAACCCAAATCCATCTACCCCAAAATATATTATGTTAAGTCCCCCAACCCCCCGGCCGCGTCACTGACCTCCACAGTTCATGATCTTTCGAACCGTCGTTGTGGACAGAATGTTTTTAGTCCTCAGGTAGTCGGCTATCTGCCCCCCAATAGGCACAATAATTGTCATGACCAGATGCGGCACGGCAGACAACATCCCAACCTGACAAAAAACACAAATTACATCATAGAGCGTTCCTCTCTGCCCGCCCTTCCCCCAACATTCAAGCAGAGAGGGAAGAAGCTGGTGGTGCATGTACTCAGTGCTGGGGGTGCACGTACTCAGTGCTGGTGGTGCGCGCACTCAGTGCTGGGGGTGCACGTACTCAGTGCTGGTGGTGCACGTACTCAGTGCTGGGGGTGCACGTACTCAGTGTGCGGGGGTTGTGCTGGTGGAGAGTGATGCCGCTGTCTGGACGTGCAAGAGTACACTGCCACTCTCGCTGGCGTCCCACCAACCTCCTGGCAACCAATGGCATCTCAGGTTGCTAAGAGCTGGGCGGTGGAGATGTGTGTGGCCCTTCCACATCTTCCCCCCGGCTCTAAGAAACCTGGGACGCGCTGGCCAGAAATGAGGCAACAAGCACACTGCAATCATTGTGCCACTCTGCCTGCTGCCCCCCTTCCCTACGTGACCCTAAGAGATGCCTCCTGGCTGCCTCATTATAGGAACAGCCCTTCATACCTCAATACCCCAGATATCTCTATGAAAGCTACATTCAATGTATTTTTGTGAAATATCTTTCCCAGCAGAGCAAGTACCTGAATTTGACTTGCTATCAGTCTCTTGCAGTCCCTGAACAGCAGAGCTCAGAGTGGGAGAAAGAGAAACAGCACAGGGGGGCAATTAGGTGTTCTACATTGCTTATATGATAACAGGGGATGCTGATGTAAGAAGAGAACAGAGTGACGGAAAGGAGAGTTCCTCAATCGGCTGCTTCTCCTTTCACTGTCCAGTCAAAGGCTGGGGGAGGGCCAAGACCTGAAATTGTTACTGCAGAGCTGAGAAAGCTGGCTGTGCTGTGTGGCAGAGCTGTGTAAACCTCAAGACTGAATGAACATAAATTCGTATCCTTTGGTAGTTACAGCAGCTCGCGGTGCGCATTCATAGTTACATAGTATTTGAGGTTGAATAAAGACATTAGTCCATCAAGTCCAACCTGTTGTGTGTGTGGGTTGTGTATAGGTCCTTGTGTCATCTCATTCTTAAGAGTACCTGTACCCCTGTATATTACCTGTACCCCTGTATGTTACCTGTACCCCTGTATATTACCTGTACCCCTGTATGTTACCTGTACTCCTGTATGTTACCTGTACCCCTGTATATTACCTGTACCCCTGTATGTTACCTGTACTCCTGTATGTTACCTGTACTCCTGTATATTACCTGTACCCCTGTATATTACCTGTACCCCTGTATATTACCTGTACCCCTGTATATTACCTGTACCCCTGTATGTTACCTGTACTCCTGTATGTTACCTGTAC